GTTCCTATCTTCCATTATTTTATCATTCTTGTCTTGCTTTCTTTTTCTTTCGTTCATGTCTTCCTTTCGATTCAAAATTCCTCTTTTCCTTTCTCTTTTTCCTTCCTTCCGGGTTTTCCACTATTTTCCCTATTTTGTTCCTTCCAGTCTTCCTCTCTTTCTTTTTTTTGTTCCTTATTCCCTCCTATAATATTAAATCATTTGACTTTGCTTTTTTATTAACATATGTAAAAATTCTTTATTTCCTTTTATGCTTTCATCCATTCTTTCAAGCCACCACTATTTCTGAGTTTTCATTCATTTAACCGCTTTTTCCCTTCTTTTTATTCCTACTTTGAATAATATATTAAGATCACAGCTAGTAGCCATTCTCTAGCATCAAATACCAATTTGTTTGGAATTATCTCCCTTGATTTTCGCTAGCACAAACTCTCTCTTTTTTCACAGACACGAAATAAAAAATATGACTAAGCTCAACTAATTTTCGAGCATAATCTTGCACTTATGCTTAAACCACCCACAAAACCGTATTCACGGCCTTAATGTTCCGTGTCCCTTACGGAATCGGGTGACCATGGCTCTCCAAAATTTCCTGTGTTTTTTAGCTCTTAGTAAAATTATGTCTTTTCGCTATCTCTTCTTATTCTTCTCCGGCCCCGCATTTATAAAAACTCATGTAGCAGGCTATGATCTGATTTGTTTCCGTCTCTCTTGCCTACAATCCTGCCCCGTGAGTATTACATTTTTCAAGCCATCTCTCCGCATAATGTGCCCTAGAAATCCCAACTGTCTTCTTGATGTTAAGTGACCTTTTCTTTTCTGTTTTTTCTACAAAAAAAAAAGTCACTGCTCGCAGGTTTTGTCCATGTTAATCTCAGCATCCTTCTGTAGATTAAAGTCTCTTATTTATCTGTGTTATAGTCCAGCATTCACTGCCATATAAAGAGGAGACATATTAGAAAACAGTTAAGTACTGTTTTCTTTGTCTCTAACGATACTCTACTGCACCATAATACTTAGCTTTTGGAAGGTATCATTTGCGATCCCAATTCATCTTCGGATCTCGGTGCCGCATTTCCCGTCCTCTGTTAAAACACTTCCTACATAATTATTTTTTTTTAACTTGCTTGATTTTGGCATTTCCAATTTGTAAGTCACATGATGGACTCTTCTTTCTCCTGAAAAAAATTAGTCCTTTCTTCTTGCTTTCATTTACTAAATTCTGTAGGAGTTCTTGTATTTTTTTTATTATTTGTCTGCTATCAATACTGTCGAATCTGTATATCGAATGTTTTTAGAATAGTGACCATTAATAATTCATCCAGGTAAAAATTATAATTCTTTCATAATTATGCCACATTAAAGGTTGAAAAAGTCTGGTAAGAAGACACATCTTTGTCTTACACAACTTTTATTTTTTTTTTATATTTACTGAATTCATTTTCTAACTGTAAGTAGGTGGTCCGCTCCCTGTATAATTTCATCTAATTTGCTTTGAGTATATATGAATACTTTCTCATCATATTCAACATATGTGTATACAGGATGTATAAAAAAAAAAAAAAAAAAACTTTTACAAATTTTTTTTTTTTTTTTTTTGGGGGGGTCCTGACACCAAAACAAGGTAAAATATCCATATAAACATATGACGAAAATGGCATCGTTGTACCTCAAAAGAGCAACTCATAACAAAATGTTCAAAATGTTCCCCGCTTGCTTCTACACACGCATGCACCCGTCGGATCATTGACTGGCGGACCCTTTCAAGTGCTCTCAACATTGGTGAATCGTTTCTCAGGTTTCAATGGTACGATGATGAAGCGTCTCTTCGTTAGGAACGTCTGCTGCAAAAATCAATTGTTTTAGGTGGTTTCACAAATAGAAATCCAAAGGATTGAGGTCAGACAAATGTACAGGACATGAAACCGGTCATTCCCTGCCTATTCATCTTTTATGATAGATGTCAACCATCGCAAACAATGTGACTAAAATGTGTTGGAACCCAATCATGCATAGACCACACGTTTCTTCGTATTAGCAGGGGTGTATCCTCCAGCAGGTCTTCAAATGTGTTCGAAATAAAGTCCCTGTAGACAGATCCTATAAAACGTGCTTAGAGAACATATGGACCTACCAGACAGTCAACTACAATTCTAGCCCATACATTAATCGTAAATTGATGCTGGTGTCTAGCCTGTCTTGTACCATGGGGATTTCGATCTGCCCACAAATGTTGGTTGTGTAATATTGTTAGTCCTTTCTTTCCAAATTTTGCCTCATTTGTAAACAAGCTTGAAGAGACAAATAACGGATCGGCGGTTTGTGCATTAAACCATGGGACTAACGTTATCCCGTGGTGAATAACGAAAGACCCTGCAGGTGTTGCAAATAATACCGATACAGGGGCTGCTCTTGATGTACTCTCCGTATGGTACTATGAGATGTACGACATGCTAGGGCCATTGACGCGTGCTGATACGTGGATCGTCTTCGACAGTCTGTAGAATGTGCTCTTCATAGTCAGGCATACGAGGTGATCACGGTCTTCTTCGATCCATATGTTGTGGTACCACGGATCCTGTTTCAGCAATGCGACGATAAATAGCAGCAAAGTTTGGATGACATGGCTAGCCTCGGTCTGGAAACGCATTCTGAAACAGCCGTGCAGCCTTACGTCCATTACCATTCCCGCGACCGTAAGTGAAAATCATATTATCCTAATAACTATATGAATATCCTGCCATTGTTAAAAGAAGCACTTGTCAGATAACTCAGTACTGCACACATTAACCGCTGAAGTCCGAAAGCAAGAAATGTACACGAATAACAAATGTAACCAAGTCTATATGCAAACACAACACTATCTACCGTAAACTTAATAAAACAAAAATGAAGTATTTACGGATATATGTTTATATTGACTTATTTTGTGAGGAACCAGCAAATGGTGTATCAAAAATACTTTTCCAAACTTTGTGGGGTGGGTTATATATATTTGAATTAATATTCACCCAAAGCAAGACGATAATGCCACTAATACATAATGGGTTACTGGGAGGAAAAGAGAATGGTTAAATTTTAGAAGGAACCTGGAACCGAATCCTAAACAAAAAACAAAGCATGGATCTCTTCTTCCCTTCCCCAAAAAACGGCGAGGAATGTAAACCGATATATATATATATATATATATATATATATATATATATATGTGTGTGTGTGTGTGTGTGTGTGTGTGTGTGTGTGTGTGTGTGTGTGTGTGTGTGTGTGTATGTGTGTGTGTGTGTTCCCTGCCTATATAATCATTATGATTCAATGTCAAGTGATTAACATTTTCGGAAATTCAACAAATCTGATTAACAAATATTAAAGACACTATTTTATATATATATATATATATATATATATATATATATATATATATATATATATAAATATAAAATATTTGAAACTACAGAGCTGACGACGTAGATCAAATGCCTTCACAATCTAGAATATCTAAAATAAATAAATAAATAACGCCCAAACTAATTTGACATGCCAATAAAAACGCATAAATAAAGAAGCATGCTGACATATATATATATATATATATATATATATATATATATATATATAAAATATATACATACATAATTTATGTTCGTCAATGCACAGTTTTTTTAATTAAACAGTGTTAATTATCTTACCAGCCTGATTTTTCCTAATCGATCATTTCTGCTCACGAAACATAGCTTAACGTAAACAATGACAACGTATTATGGAATGGATTCAGTCCGACAATTGAAATTGATCGAGAAAAATCATCTAGGCGTCTGTTTATAAACAGTAATTCGGACTTACGTCAGGCTATATGACAGTTCCAGTAAAGATTACAGGCTCGTTTCCACTCAGGGAACACATATTTTCTAGGAAACTTCTCGAAAATTGAGGCCGGTAAATGTAATTAATACTGTTTATTTAAAATAAAAATAAAAAAAATAAACAGAGCATTTACTTAAATAAATTATATCTATAAGAAAATAACGCATAAAAAGAATATATATATATATATATATATATATATATATATATATATATATATATATATGTTTGTTTGTGTGTGTGTATGTTTGTGTACATGTAAGTATGAGCGATTTTTAAATTCTATTATCTGCGAGTGGAAGAGCAACACTGTGATAGCTTTGGGAGTTCTCCTTGTATTTTTTTAATTTCTTTTACAAGTTCACCTTTTAGTAACTGGTTTTGAATATGTTTATAGTATTTTAGTCAATGTTATTTCGAACACTAGTTTTTTGTGTGTTTTTTTTAACTGTTCGTTTTGCTCTGTTTTTATTTTATGCAATACATGCTGTTTTACTAGACGCGCCTGCAAAGAAATATGCGTGCCTCGTGTTCGCATGCACGCCTAATGTCTTCGTGCGTATTAATGCAAAAAGAGGAGAAAACCAAGTTAAACAGGGAAAAAAAAATCCCAGAATGAATGGAGGTCTGTGTAAAAGAATGAGTGGGTGTATTTGCAAGAGTTGCAGTGATACCTGAGGGTCTGTGTATGTAGTAATATTTGTATAAACTGCGGTGACTGTGAACGCGTGTTTACCCGGGCCTCCGCGTGTGTTTCCCGGGGAGAATTGGCTCAGAGGAGTCCCTTAACCCATCTGAATCAGCTCCCCGCTCGTCACCTGTCGTATTATTATGATTAAACATTTTCCATCGCGTAGTGAGGCGGTGCTTAATAGTTTGTGTTGCTTCTGACGTGTTTTTTTTTATGGGTAAGTTGAAAATAAAGTAGAAAAGAAATTTCTTCCATAGAATTTTGTTGAGGTTGGCTACGGGTAAATATACTCGAACCGAGGAAATCACGTGTGGAGGAAAAAGAAAAAAAAAGAAGTAGAAAAGTAAAAAAAAAAAGAAAGAGTTTGAATCAATGAATTAGTAGGTTAAAGAGCAAATGAATAGATGAATTAAATAAAATTACAAGATAACAAATAACTTTGGGTAACTCAAGAAAGAATATACGGAAGAAAGAAAGAATGGAACAGACATAAGAGAATGAAGAGAAATACAGATGGAAAGAAAAAGAAGAGTATAGATGAAAAGAAAGAAAGAAAGAAAGAAGGAAAAAAGAAAGAGAGAAAGAAAGAAAGAGAGAAATAAAGAAAGAATAAAGGGGGAGGACGAAAGACCGAAAACAAGGGAAGGAATGAAGAAAGTAAGAAAGAAAGAAAGATCGAAAAGAAAAGAAGGAAAAGACAGAAAAAAAAGAAAGAAAGAAAAGTAAACAGTAAGAATAAAGAAAGAAAAATACCAAAATGGAAGAAAGAAAGAAAGAAAGAAATAAAGAAAACAGAAAGAAAGAAAGACCAAAAAAATTGAAGGTAGAAAGAAAGGAACAACGAAAAGAAAGGAAGAAAAAAAATGATCGGAAAGAAAAGAAGAAACAAAGAAAGAAACGCTATGGAAGGAAGAAGGGAAAAGGAAAAAGAAAGAAAGAATGAAAGAAGATTGGAAAGAAAGTATAGAAGGAAAGAAGAAAGAAAGAAATGAAAACTAGAAAGAAATGAAGAAAGATAGGAAAAGTGGAAACAAAAGAAGAAATACCGAAAAGAAAGGGTGAAAGAAAGACCGAAATGAAAGGAATAAAAAAGACCGAAAAAAAGTAAGAAGGAAAGACCAAATATAATGAAAGGAAGAAAGGCCGAAGAGAATAAATGAAGAAAGACCGAAAAGAATGAAAGAAAAAGGAAAAGAATGAAAAAAAGACCAATTAAAATTAAAGAAAAAGAGGAAAGGCTAACTGGTAGGAAGGATGTCTTGGAAGGCAGAAAAGAAAAATAAAAAGAATGGAAGAAAGACTAAGAGAATGAATGGAAGAAAAGCTAGGGGAATTAATAGAAGGATCACTTGAAATAAAGAAAGAGAAGAAGACTAGAAGAAAAGCAAGGAAGCAAGACTAGAAAGGAAGGAAGGAAGGAAGGAAGGAAGGAAGGAAGGAAGAGAGGGGAAAAGATGAAAAAAGAAGGAAGGAAAGAAAGAAAGTCGGATGGAAGAAAGGAAAGGACAAAGGAAAGAAGAAGGAAAGACGGACAGACGGAAGGAAGAATGGGAAAATGGACGGAAGGAAAGAACAAGGAAGGAAGAAAGGAAAGACGGATGGGAGGAAGGAAGAAAGGAAAAACAAAAGAAGGAAGGAAGGAAGGAAGGAAGGATGGCAAAATGAACGGAGGGAAAGAAGAAGGGAGGAAAGAAGGAAAGAAGTGAGGAAGGAAGGAAGGAAGGAAGAAAGGAAGGAAGGAAGGAAGGAAGAAAGGAAAAACAAAGGAAAGAACAAAGAAAGACGGACAGACGGAAGGAAGGATGGGAAAATGGACCGAAGGAAGGAAGGAAGGAAGGAAGGAAGGAAGGAAGGAAAATAGAAAGAAAAGAAGAAGGAAAGACGGACAGACGGAAGGAAGAATGGTAAAATGGACGGAAGGAAAGAACAAGGGAAGGAAGGAAGGAAGGAAGGAAGGAAGGAAGGAAGGAAGGAAGGAAGGAAGGAAAGTAAATTGGATGGAAGGAAGGAAGAAAAGAAAAACAAAGGAAAGAAGAAAGAAAGACGGACAGGCGGAAGAAAGGATGGCAAAATGGACGGGGGGAAAGAACAAGGGAAGAAGGAAGGAAGGAAGGAAGGAAGGAAGGAAGGAAGGAAGGAAGGAAAGAAAAGAAGAAGGAAAGACGGATAGACGGTAGGAAGAATGGTGAAATGGACGGAAGGAAAGAACAAAAGAAGGAAGGAAGGAAGGAAGGAAGGAAGGAAGGAAGGAAGGAAAGTAAATTGGATGGAAGGAAGGAAGAAATGAAAAACAAAGGAAAGAAGAAAGAAAGACAGACAGGCGGAAGGAAGGATGGCAAAATGGACGGAGGGAAAAGAACAAGGGAGGAAAGTAGGAAGGAAGGAAGGAAGGAAGGAAGGAAGGAAGGAAGGAAAGTCGGATGGAAGGAAGGAAGAAAGAAAGAAAAGACAATGGAAAGAAGGAAAGACAGTCAGACGGAAGGAAGAATTGGAAAATGGACGGAAGAAAAGAACAAGGGAGGAAAGAAGGAAGGAAGGAGGGAAGGAAAGAAGGATAGAAGGAATGTCGGATTGAAGGAACGAAGAAAGGTAAAAAAAGGAAAGAAGAAGGATAAGACGGACAGACGGAAGGAAGAATGGGAAAATAGACGGAGGGAAAGAACAAGGAAGGAAGGAAGGAAGGAAGGAAAGAAAGAAAGAAAGAAAGAAAGAAAGAAAGTCGGATAGAAGGAAGGAAGAAATGAAAGGACAAAGGAAAGAAGAAGGAAAGACGGACAGACGGAAGGAAGGATGGGAAAATGGACGAAGGGAAAGAACAAGGGAGGAAAGAAGGAAAAAAGTGAGGAAGGAAAAAAGGGAGGAAGGAAGGAAGGAAAGTAAATTGGATGGAAGGAAGGTAGAAAGGAAAGGACAAAGGAAAGAAGAAGGAAAGACGGACAGACGGAACAAGGAATGGGAAAATAAATGGAAGGAAAGAACAAAGAAGGAAAGAAGTGAGGAAGGAAGGAAGAAGGAAGGAAGGAAGGAAGGAAAGTCGGATGGAAAGAAGGAAGTAAGGAAAGGACAAAGGAAGGAAGAAGGAAAGACGGACGGACTGAAGGAAGGATGGAAAAAAATGGAGGAAGGGAAAGAACAAGGAAGGAAGGAAGGAAGGAAGGAAGGAAGGAAGGAAGGAAGGAAGGAAAGTCGGATGGAAGGAAGAAAGAAAGGAAAGGACAAAGGAAAGAAGGAAAGAAGAAAGGAAAGAAGAAGGAAAGTCGGAAGGAAGTATGGGAAAATGGACGGAGGGAAAGAACAAGGGAGGAAAGATGGAAGGAAGGAGAGAAGAAAGGAAGGAAGGAAGGAAGGAAAGAAAAAAAGAAAGTCGGATGCGAGGAAAGAAGAAAGGAAAGGACAAAGGAAATACGGACAGACGGAACAAAGAATGGGAAAATGGGCGAAAGGAAAGAATAACTGAGGAAAGTAGGAAATAAGTGAGGAAGGAAGGAAGGAAGGAAGGAAGGAAGGAAGGAAGGAAGGAAGGAAGGAAAGGAAAAACAAAGGAAAGAAGAAAGAAAGACGGACAAACGGAAGGAAGTATGGGAAAATGAACGGAAGGAAGTATGGGAAAATGAACGGAAGGAAAGAACAAGGAAGGAAGGAAGGAAGGAAGGAAGGAAGGAAGGAAGGAAACACGAAAAAAATGAAAGGTAGGGTGAAAAAGAAGGAACAAAAAAGAAAGAAAAAGAAGAAAGAAAGAAGAAAAGAAACGAAGAAAGGAAGGAAGAAATGTAGAATTAACCAATATAACAAAATTTGGATATGTTCAAGACTAAATAATCGGAGATTATTGCTAAAAAAAAAAAATAAAATAAAATCAGATATGAATGCAAATATAAAAATTTAAATTAATTGTAAAGAATTAACTAGTTTAAAAAAAATACATAAAATATTAAAGTAATATAGGTGCGAATATTGTGCTATGCCAAAGTTAAGTAGCAGTGAGATTAATAAATGCCCACCAATAACAAAAGTTAAATATAGTCAATCACACAGAAACGTACCAAGTTGTAGCAGGATGATATCAAGAAATTGCCTCAAAGATTGCGTCAATAGGTTCTGGAATAAAATAATGTTAAATAAATCTATGCACACCTATGAAAATATTATCTTTGAAAATCTCTTTAAAAAAACGTTACAAACTTTTGTTCCGACGCAATATCAATTGTTAAAAGAAATTTGATGCCAAAATAACCAAACGATATGAACCATTTGCAAATATTGATTCAAAAGCCTTCGCTCCTATTAACGTAAATGCGCGCCAGGAGTATTTGAATTAAGCCTCAGATTCATCACATTAATAATTCAAGTAAATGAAGTTAGGTTTTCAACATGGCTTCTAGACTCCTGAACTAACCAACAAAATATGGATGAATAGAAGCCCTAATCTTTTAGAGCAAATCCATAATAGACCAAAATATATAAACTAAATTATTAAATGTAATTATGAAAGATTTCTATCCTTTCAAGCTCTTATTAACGAATTTGTTCTTAATATTTGTTTGATATGCCCGACATCGTTTCAAATATATGTAAGTTTAGGAAACTATTGAATTGTATTTAAATAAATAAGTCCATGTACTCAGGATTAAAATCTGAGACTTGGATGCTCTTTTTCCTTTCAGTGCATTTATTTCAACATTCAGTGTTTTAATCAGGTGAGAATTAAACATAATCCACTGAAAATCTCTATCTATAAAAGGCAGGATGTGTGTGTAACGAATGCACGGCCGCAATTTTCGACGGATTTCCACCAAAATTTACATGCACATGCTACAAGTAAGCGGAAAGGCTAAGACCGACTTTGCATTTCCCAACTCCCATCGATAGTGGAAGTAATGGATTTTTTTCATGCTTCTACGGCAGTTTTCATGTAGTTTGCGGACATTTTTTACTGGCCAGAGTGAGAACTTATAGCTGGCTGCCACGGATTGGCAGGAAGATTCTATTGGCCAGCGTGAGAGCCAACAACTGACTGACACGAATGTTAACGAGCATGCTAGTATGCAAAAAAAAAAATCCATAGCTGCATTCGTCACAAGTGGCAAAAATTTATATCTGCATGGCACTTTACTCCAATTGGCTCATTCGCTTGTTTAAACTCAACGTAGATTCTGATTCCGCAGAACTGGGTTCGGTGTAAAAAAGTATTTGTTGTTATCATTCTTTTTTCATTCGGTTTTTCCAGTTACGAGTCCTTTTTTAAAGCTGATCGTTTTGTGTTCATTTTATTTAGTTCTTTTTTCGTAACAGATTTCATGTTTAGTATAGAGCTTAGAAAAAATTCGCAGTGTGAGATAGGCAAGAAGTAAGGCATGTAGCAACATCAGCACGGCAAAGGGCACTCCTTTAAAGGCAAGGTAGGGCAAAAATATTTTAAGTCAAGTGATAGCGTTTGCTGTATGAGTCGTACGAATTTTGAGTCAAGCACGGGCAACGCCGGGTCATGCTGCTAATTTATTATAAAAAATCAGCTCATTTTTATATTTCAGGTTATAATGTTAATGATCTAGCCCCAAATATTAAATGATAGACTAAGGATGGCTTCTAGAAATGATCAATACCAAGATAAGATCTGCCTAATTGAGTCCGTATTCCAGTATTCTCAGTTTACACAAAAAAATTATATATATCATATTGTCGTCGTTGGCCAAACTCGTTGCCGAATATTGGGGTGCTTATCGACATTTCCTTCTGTGTTAAATGAATCCTATGTTGGATTTGAAGAGACATCCGCAGCCACTGAATGTTAATATAGAATGGGATCAGATGATGGAGAGCTTTAGCTTTTCTTTGGGTTCCGTTCGTCTCTTCTATTTGTCTTGTATTTTCGAATGATGTTTTTTTTTTCATGAACTGCTCTTCTCTAATTTGTTCTTTCAACAGATTTCGTCCCCCAATTGACAGGATCGATTTCTGTCCTCATCAAGGTATTTTCGAGCTGACCTTTTCGTCGACGATCCGACGCCTGGCGGGTAGGTGGTCAAGGCGACATTCTACGTACGAGAACAAGTTGTCAGCTGGATGTATGCTGTCATTATCAACCTGCCTGCCAAGCTGTATTGTGGGTGCCATGGAGTAGCGACCCATTAGCCACCTCAATCAATTCGCAGCCTCGGCTTTCATGGCCCAAAACCTTTCTTCTTCTCACGTTCTTTTCTCTGAAATTCTCTTCCTTCAAGGCAACGAGGCGGAGGAAACGGAGGCAGGCTGTGGCTCAACTGGAACCTCTACTCCAAATTGCACGTAGACAGCAGTTGTGTGATAGCTGCATGCCGGAGAAATGACTGCGACTGACAGGAGGTCCTGCATCTGTGACTGGGCAGGCCTATTTTAGGAATTCCCACTGTCCACCCCAGTCGGGGAAGGCCCTATAAAAGATGGGTTAAACATTGGACGCAATCACTTCACCTGCCCGGAAAACCACGCCCAACGGGTGCTCATTTTCTGTGATCGATCATAATCCATCATTTATCTCAACTACACTACCTTGAATGTTTGTGCAAGAAACGTGAGAACGCTCCTTGTCTTTCCAAATGGCACAAGGCCTATGGTCTAAGGACTCACCATCAACATGGTTTGGTTTATTTATTTATTTTTGTTCTTGTTTTACGGCATATCATCCTCAATGCGTTATTTAATGCCGATAAGATTTTTATTGCTGATAATATATTTTTTCCAAAAAATTATTTTTGTTAATATGTTTATTCAAAAATGTATTGCTAGTAATATTTTTATCCAAAAATAGTATTGCTGGTAATAATTTTTCCAAAAATGTATTGCTGGAAATATTTTTTTCCAAAAATATATTGGTTTCGTTTGTTTTGTTTTACGGCATATTAACTTCAATGGGTTATTTAATGCCGACAAAATTTTTATTACTGGTAATATTTCTTTTTTTTTTTTTTTTCAAAAATATATTGCTGGTAATATTTTTCCTTCAAAAATATATTGCTGGTAATATTTTTCCTTCAAAAATATATTGCTGGTAATATTTTTCCTTCAAAAATGTATTGCTGGTAATAATGTATTGTTAGTAATAATTTTTTCTTAAAACTTTATTGCTGACAATTTTTTTTTTACAAAAACGTATTTCTAATATTATTTTTGCACTTTCATAGTGTTTTGACCCCAGTTTGGGGGTTAATTATTTTCCCATAGATGTTGATAGCACCCCACTTCAGGGTGAACCTGCGAACAACAGCAATTAAGATATGGTTCCACTCTTCTCAAAACCTCCTGATATGAAGCCTTGCTGCTGGATGTAGTTGATCGTCATAGTCAGGACAACCATCAACATGGTTAATATCAAGATCCTGCTGCAATTATATATTATATATATATTCACTTAAACATGATGACAATCATGGTTTTGAGTGCTATAACGAAAACTGAATAAATAGTGTATATTTGACACATGTTGATACCGACTTGAAACGATAGAGGTTAAGAAAATGTCGGACAAAATTAAGTATTTTTACTAAATATAATACAACGTACAATGCGCGATTTATAATGAGGTATAATTTAAAGATCTTTGATTCGTTTGGAACACTTGGAGACTCAAATAAAAATAATATTTTTTTTTTTCATTTTACCATCCACTTAGTCGTGTATCACTTAATTCTAATATTCTCTTCAGAAATGATACCATCTGAATCCACTTAAACTTAACTAGTGGGATTAAATCTCAAGACCAAAAGCAGTTAAATTCTCAAGTTCTTGATTTAAAACATTATGAACGCAAGCACTCAGTTATTTCACATAATTAATTAGGCTACCAACACAGATTTAATATTGAGAATGCGCAATTTTAAAGCTCTTGTGACAAAAATAACTAAATTTCAAACGCTAATTTTACTCACAATTAAAGATTTAAATCATGACATCGAAAGATCCTGTGTATATTTTATTAATTTAATTTCCAATTTCAGTTTTGTTCGTTTTCGGCTCGTTTTAGATTCTCATCAATTCTTCCACCGATTCCGTTCTGTACCACGAAGCAATCAAAATATAATATTTTTATGTCCCCAACTGCGATGCGTTACCTCCCTGAATTGCAACATAGAGATTCAAATTACTTATACACATTATTTCAAAACGGAATTGTTTTTACTCTATTAATTTCTGGTACACATTTACGTTCTTGTCTTTTCAGCGATCCGTTTTTAGTTTTCTTTAGTGTTTTTTATTTATTTTATTTCAAATAGTATGCTTTTACGAATATGCATTTATTATACTACCATAGTTTGTGATTTTTTTTTCTTTTTCGGAAGCACCTGCAATGTAACAATATGCTCACATGTTTACAATTCGAGATATTCGTAACTTTTTAACGTTATAATATAATATCCGAAAACCTGTCTTGCAAACATTTCTTTCTTTATTTATAAGTAATTCGGCACAAATGAAAAGGTTTGAAATTGACATTTTTTTTCCATTTCATTGAAACAGACGGTAACCACATCTATATTCCCTTTTTTCTTTCATTTTGTCATTGAAGCCAATAGCGACCCTAACATGTCAATTCGGTGTTTTTATGCGGACAAAATAAAATATTCCATTATTTATAAGTGATTAGGATGGCGTATCGGTCGTACTAACTTACAAACAAAGAGAGCAACAAGCAGAATTATAAACGATATTTTGTATTTTACAAAGTATATAATAATAGAAATCTTAATCATTTCCCTAGAAGCAAACAGTTGACATTCATTGACCGATCAGACAGTACTGCTTTCGGTTGAAATTTCTAAAATCTTTCTCATATGTTTTTTTAAGAAAACAGGTTTCTCAAGCCCAGTCACTGTTATCGCTCTTTACATCAGAGATGTGGGTTTCCTTCCTAACCTTTTATTTGAAGTAGTATGGAATGTTAACATCATGATTACGCCATTAGTTTCTCTTCGAGTTACATGTGATATCGTTTAGTTTTTTCTGCTGCTGTTAATATTCATCAGGTGCTGTGGTTTTTATTTACTATAGGTCTTTGTTTGCGATTCTGTAGCCTACAGTGTTCAATGAAGAATGATCTTAGCCATAATCCTTAGAATTTACGTGTTCAAAGCCTTTTCCTTTATTGCTGAAAATGATAAAAACAATCATTTCTCGCAACTTTCTTCACAATTGAAATTCAAACTAATTCATTACTTTTTCGACACTTACTCATGGTTTTGACACCATGGTTGAAAACAAGGTACAAATACTTCAAATCATTTTTTTGGTAAATAATGATTGATATTTTGCGAATATTGCTGAATTTCAAAACCTGACATCCACCAATCAGCGTTCATAGTGTTACTAGAAAATTGTTCCGATCAAATTTTAAAAACATTTTCTTATATATATCTAAATAAAGGCCTCGCATAAAGTGGTTGATTGGTGCTACTACCAGTAGTGTCCAGAGCAAATTCCAAATTCTCTAGTCTACTTCCGACTGAGGTAATGTCTGTGTATTATGGTGAATACCTAATTTCATGAATAATTGAAAAACCACGGGATTTTCAACTAGATGTGATACAAAAAAATTATCAGAATATCAATTTTAATGTGCATATAAAAAAAAAACTCAGAGATATATACAAATGTTGATTGATTGATTTGTTTGTTTAAAGACATATGGGAGATTTAATGCCAAAATTTAATTTTCTTGTCATTCTGTTTTCGCAACTTACGGCTTCGTTTAGTATGTGATCCTCAGCTTTTGAGCCTAAACATGTTTGTATGGAGATGATTACTACAGGCGATGATTATGTTGTAGTTTTGTTGAAGTTATATTTTAGAGTAAAATTTGATTACTTTAAAAACTTGTAGGATATACAAACTAATGACATGAAATAGTTCTATCATACTAGCTGTTTGGTTAGTTGATTATGTTTAGCGGCATATCAAAACTTCTATGGGTGACTTACTGCCGAAATCTAAATATTTTATACGTAATTTTATGCTTTCAACTACAGATATATGTACATAAATTTATCAGGGTAAAGGCATGTGTTTTAGATATGGATTTTGAGTAAAGGTATATATTATAGCTATATATTTTGTAGATCATAAAATGTATTGTTAGTAATTTTACTATAAAAAGGTACTGGTGATTTTTGCTTAGGTGTTCATTGTTTGCCCATAGCTGGGACCCTAACAAGTGCCACAAATCTGAGTCAGCGTGGGTTTTATAAAAACAGAAATTAAGTGGTTCTACGCTCCTCAAAACCTCCAGTCTCTCGATCTAATCTCTTGCTGCCGGGTGTAGTTTATTGTCATACGGAAGAGAAATATACTAATGTATCTTGGACACATCGAGGTGGTGTAATGGTTAGCAATCTTGTCTCGACTAGAACAATTACGACTGGGTAGTGAGTTCGATTCTCACTGAGTGCCCCGTAATTTCGGCATTGTGCCACATCTACGCTTGGAAAATCGCTGTACTAATGTATGTTTGCTTTTATATGAGTTTGCATAAAGCAAAAGGCGAATATAATTCGAGTCAGGATCAATTAAGAGTTAATTATATCCCCCACCCCAAACATTCTTTTTAGTCATTTCACCAGAATTTGATAAATGGGCTGAGGCAAGAACTTTTCAGCAGATTCACGTACTACTCTTACACTGATGTTATTTCTTCTTCATATTTCCATTACAATATTTGGTATAATGGCGCATTTCCATTTATATAGTAATTTCTGACAATTATTTCCTTGAGTTAAATTTATCCTTGTATTTTTAGTCATGTCTTGGATTTATTGTGTCATCTTTTTTACTATCTTTATTCAAGCAAAGCAATTATCACTTTTCCGGTCTTTTGTTCATAGCGTTATTTTTGTCTCGAATTGAAACTCTCGCCATTTTTCCTCTTTTACTTTCTTCCCACGCTTTCATTATATATTTTTTCTGCTATCATTAAGATTCTAGTCTTTTTTTTTTCTTCTAATTTAACTTTCTCCTTCCTTTCTCTAAGTTTATTCAATTTTCCTTGTAATTTCTGACACTAATTTTCTCCTTTATATATTTTCATTCGCTGTTTCTTCTCTTTCTTTTGATTTTCAAATATATATATAACGCTTACGTGATACACTTTAAATAGATCATTCATTTCTTATCACTCTTTCTTGTCTCTTTCGCGTTGCCTTTGTTCTTTTCTGAAAGTTTTTCATTCACAGTTATCGTTCGTTTGTCTTCTTCGTTCGTGATTTGTTTCGAAATATATTTCCTCCAATAATCCAAGCCACTGGCTGAGCGCACCGCAGGTTGCGATTGTTTTTAAACATGATACCTGATACAATATAGTGAATAAGGCACGAATTTATACACAC